ACAGTGAAGATACTGCGCAGACCCCTCAAACTCCCAGGCCTCTGGTAGAGGACCCGAGACTGAGGAAGATACAGACCCCCCATAGGGGTGAAAGGGGATATTTTTATGAGAACCCTGTTTGGGATGTGTGTATGTGTATCTATCTGCTACACACACACACACACACACACACACACACACACACACACACTCAATGAATCAATATGTGATTGGTTGGATTTATAATCATGGTTTTATATATTAAGGTATAATATAGTTTGCTTGATTGTTTCTTATGCAGTGCAATGTGTAAAAATAGCCATTGTAGTTTGTAAACATGATTTATGCCTCAATAGTATATATGAAACCAGTCTTTGTGTCTTACTCAACGATTAAAACAAACCCACAGGTTGGTGCAGTGTATGAACCTAATCACATTCACCTTGTGGGATAAAAAAAAACAACAACCCATAGGAAATCCTATTGTAAAACTGATATTTGGACATACCATTGGGATAGAAGCAGAATTTTTTGAATTATACTTACTTTCCCCCCAAGGAGCAAGGTTTTCAGTTAATATAGGTGTAATGTGGGAGTTATTTGATCAGATCTCCCCTTTCCTGTGTATGGTGCTTCAGAAAAATAAAACTCCTTTCCCATCTCATTTTCCAGTTTCCCCAGTGAAGCTAATAACAGCCATACAGAGATGGGATGGGATGGGAATTTGGACTGGGGAAACGGTAGGAGGACAGGTTTAAACATCCCCTTCCCTTCCCTGCACTATTGCTTCAGTTTACATTGGAGCCCTCTGCTGGAGATCTGAAGTCAGCAGGAGGCTGTTTTAGAGGATTTGCTCCTGAACATAAGCAGAGTGCTGAAACAATACCAAGTGATCTAGCAGCAGGACATCCCATTTGAAACACTGCCCCTAACCAAAAAGAATATCATTGTCTTGGATGCAGAGGACAAATGCAAGCAGACATTCGTTATATTTGAAATGAAACCTAGATTTGTTGAGAACGGCAGAAAAGCCTCACTTCTACCTATAGAGAGGGAAACCCAAGAGAAGGAGGAGGACATTCCTTTTGTCTCTTAAGCACAGAGACTCATTTCAGTACGAACAGGCCAGGTGAGAGATACACAGAGGGACAGCAGGTGAAGACTCTTCACATCAAGGTTACTCAACCTTGGTGACTTGAAGATGTATGTACTTCAACTCCCAGAATTCCCCAGCCAGCATGCTGGCTGAGGAATTCTGGGAGTTGAAGTCCACACATCTTCAAGTCGCCAAGGTTGAGGAACCCTGCTTCACATCATATCTCTGGCCATTTGTCCTAGGGGTCAAATGGCTCATGGGTGCAAAAAAATGATGCCTCCATCTTTATTAAAGTCTGGAAATCTGATCATAGATATCATCCATCATCCCTGATTTGGCTTAACTTGAATTTGCCTAAGGTCCAGTATGTCTTCTCTAAGCAAAGACCACTGATTTCCTGAAGAATTAAGGTAATTAGAGCCGAAAATGGTTTGGGGCCTATTAAGAATACTTTTTTTTTTCACCTCTGTGGTGTCAATGGCATAGTTTCCCTTTCTCTGAGCTTAGAAAAATGATTTCTGGAGCAACAACAGTATTCCTCAGCATTTAACACGATGTAACAGGGACTTTTGGCTTCACCCCTTAGCCCTTTGTTAGTGAATCACATTACTCTTTCTGTCTTCTCCTGTGTTTTTTGTTTCTCACAGCAAGAGCACCTTGGAGATATCTGCTTCTCACTGCGATATGTCCCCAGTACTAGCAAATTAACGGTAGTCATTTTGGAAGCCAAAAAACTCAAGCATATGGATGCAAGTGGATTATCAGGTATGGAGGACGGGTTGCTGGAGTGCATTATGGAGAGTAGAAGAATGTAATGCTGATGCAGAAGCCCATTAATGCAAGTTGCTCGAATGGATCCTGGAGTCACACTCAGTTTTGAATCCCCTTCTGTCTAAGGCAACACGTCAAGCCCCATATCAGCTCTCTTGATCTGACTTGCTACTGACCTTGGCAACAGGAAAGATATAACTTTAATCTCTGTTGTACGAACTACCATCTTCTCTCTCTTGTGTCATGAAAGGGGATGGTTTGTCTTAGCTGCTGTTATGCATATCATAGTGCTCTGGCAGAAAGGTAGGAGAGCTGTATTAGTCTATGGTAGGCAAAAATCAGGAGGAGTCTGGTAGCACCTTTTCCAACTAAAATATTTTATTAAAAGATATGAGCTTTTGTGAGCCACAGCTCATTTCATCAGATGCATAGAGTGGATCTATACATCTGATGAAATGAACTGCGGCTTAGAAAAGCTGATGTCTTTTCCTAAATTTTGTTAGCTATACATCTGATGAAATGAACTGCGGCTTAGAAAAGCTGATGTCTTTTCCTAAATTTTGTTAGCTATACATCTGATGAAATGAACTGCGGCTTAGAAAAGCTGATGTCTTTTCCTAAATTTTGTTAGTTAGAAAAGCGCTACTAGACTCCTGATTTCTGGAACAAAAGATTACTGTTATTTTGTTTAGGAAAAGGGAACTGTATTGTATTTGAGTAAGATGATT